ATCCAGAAACCAGATGACTTGACTAACTCTGAGAATCAGGTGAGATTTGTTCAGTAAAAGCAAATCAATATGGCAGAGACCAGTCAACGTTCTGGATAACAGAAGGAAATGTTCAAAAGAAGAATTAGTTATGATTTACCAGAAACTCTAATCAGAAGGAAAGAGGATATTAAAAGCAAAAAAAGAAGATGAGAAATATTGATCATGACTCAACAAACTCAGCAGCTGAAACAGAGGAACCTGCTGCCACAAAATCTGAAAGTCATGATCATTGAAGGACAAGAGGAATAACTAGCTCAAACTGCTGAAGATCAAATATCAAATCACAAAGGTACGATATTGATCCATAAGATTCAGCAGTAGACTCATATATGGATTGAAAGAGGCATACTGCTATTCCGTAGAAACTTAATTTTATTAGGAGCATCCTGCTTCTCTGCAGCGTCCTAATAAAACAAAAGTTACCTACAAATATAGTTAGTATACTACTTTTAAATTACTGTCGAAAACTAGCCATAGACAAGCTAAAACAGTATCCTAGAATTATCCATATTCTGAGCAAACAAGGCATGCAAAAAGGAAGTGTCAGACTTCAAAACAAAGCGAATTTAAGGACACATGCAACATGCAAGAGCAACACATGTTGATCCGAGTAAACCTACTCAGCGGCTTCATTAATGATGGTCATCAATACCATTTAAATGAAAATTCTCATGCTCTCTTGAAAAGAGATATTCGTCGCTAAAGCATTAAATCAACATTACCTCGACCTCCTAAACAAATCTCGAAAGATGAAGAGACGATCTGAACAAATTGGATATAAAACTCTTGTCGAGCATTTGATAGATCATCTCAAAATCGTGCATCTTTTCTTCTACAAACCTTCCTTCAAAACCCCTTCTTCTCTCAAAATGGCAAACACCAACTCCAACAATTACCATCTTGAGCCATCGCTAGAACTTTCACTGGCACCACCTCAAACACATGCTCCTCAAAGAATGACCCAACAGCAATTGGACAACATTGCATTCTAAGAATCAAGAGTCCAATTCCTGAAGGAAAAAGAAGCTCTTGACCTCCAACTCAAGAGAGTTCTTAACTGGAGAATTTGGAGAATGGCTCCAATGGATATGCTCTCTCAAGCTGCTGAGTTTGTGAGAAATGAAGAACAATTCGTTCTTCAATGGCTTCATAAACCAAGCATTGAAGCCGCCATGTCCATATCAGTAATATGGCGCGTCTTCAATGAGAAAATGAAGAACCTCAGAGAAGAGGATTGTCAAAGAATGGGAAGGAGACTTCCAAACTATGTCCCTAGGGAGTCATCTAATAGAAGAAGAAGGATTGAGTAATCGCTTGATGTTACCAAAAGAGGGGGAAGAAAGAAGTCAAACATATTTTTCCTTTTAGTGTCTTATTATAAGAAGTTTGACTTTTATCTTCTTTTGGCATCATCACAAAAGGGGGAAATTGTTAGACCCCTAGATTTTGATAAACAGTTTTGATGATGCCAAAGCTTTTCAAATGTCCCCCTTCTTTTGTAGCATTTAACTTAATGATGTATTCCGGCAGTTGGCTAAGCTAGTAAAGTACTATTTGAAAGTGTTAAAGTTTAAAGTGTCAATTATCAAAGAAATTTAACTGGATAATATAAAATGCAATAAGCTAATATTTTACTACCTTAAAAGGATTTCTTATAGACCTTACAGGTTACATTTCTTTGATAAATCAAATAAACACAAACACATCTCGAACAAACTATTTATTAAGCTGGAACACAAAATGCAATAAGGTAATAATTTTTACCTTAAAAGGATTTGTTATCCTACCAGTTAAATAAATAGTTCATGTTCGAAATACTAGCTGGAGTGACAGAAAGACAAAAGTAAAATGTTTTGTATCAAGAAAATTATACCGGAAAAGTCAAAATGCAATAAGGTAATTTATTACCTTAAACGGATATTTAAATCCTACCGGTATATATTTTCTTTAACACAAAAACATTTTTCTCCGTCACCAATTGAGAACAAATAAATATATAATTTTTAAGACTAATAAAATTTGTACTGGAAAGTAAAAATGCAATAAGGTAAAATTCACTTACCTTAAAAGGATATAATCCTACCGGTATAAATTTTATTAGACTCAAAAATTATCTGATCGTTTATTATTTTATCACCTCGTGATAAACCGGAGCCAATCAAAGAAAAGGAATCCAAGCATGGATGACGTTTAATGCAAAGAACGTACAAAGCATGGGAGGCGCAGTCTAGTTGGATATATACAGGAGAACTGCAGCAGCTAGGCAGAAAGAGACAAAAGGATTTATCGACTCCAAAGAAGAAGACGAATAACAAGTTGTTATTTTCTGAAACAAAGATTTAACGTTCAAGATTAAATCATCTCAACCAACGGATGAGATTAATCTACCGGAGATGCCTATAAGTGAAGGCCGAAGCATGAGTTCAAAAATAAGTTTTTGAGTTCAAAAGCAGAGAAATCTTATAAGCATTCAAAGAATATCGGTTTAGAGAAAGTGCTTGATAATAACCTCACTCTCTGCTTTGACTCATGTTTCACTAAGCTCTTAGACTAGATCATCATTTTCATATTTTTAGAGCTTAGTTTATAGTTCGAGACCAGAATTTTCTTGTAGTATACAAGGAGTTGTTAAACACTTCAGGAGGACAGTTGTTCCCGGCCTGAGTGTGGTTAGATAGGTCAGGAGTACCTTTTGATCCCCACTGGATCAATTGAGAAAAACCTAAAGGATTTAGTAGCTTGGAGTGGTGTTGTACTCCTCGTGAAACACCTTCAATCTAGGCCAGAGTTGTCAAGGCTAGATTGGCACTAAGTGTATTGGGCTTAATACATTAGTGAAATCCATTTGAAATAGGATGAGACTGGATGTAGGAGGATTACACCACCTCTGAACAAGGATATATTGTGTGTTGATTTACCTTCAGTCAACATACCACACACCCAACACTTCTCAATAAAGAAATCATAGTTTGTCAGCAGAATCCTAAGCAGTTGTCTTAACCGACCCAACTGCTTATCCTACTGCTCAATAACTTACCTTTTCTTGAGACATCTGTTTCACAAGAGCTTAGGAATATCACAACTAGAAGGTTTGTTTTGCCAGTTATCAGAACACACTCCTCAAACGCAGCAGGTGCCCTAACAGTTCCCTGGCACTACCCAACTGCTGAGATCTCTGCTCAAGCAAAACACCTTATTATTTCCAGCTCAGCACATATCCAGAAAGCCCTCATCATTCTACATAAGGTCATATAATCATTTCTCCCAAACTTCTATTTTACACTGGCAGTTGCCTCAGCAGTTCCCTGACATCCAGTCAACTGCCAAGCCAACTGCTGACTGTTTAAAGTCCAAACATCATTCAAGCTAGAAAGTTATTCATACACTGTTTCCATAAAGGGTAAAGACTTCCGTTGTGCATCTATAAATATCTCAAAAGGTTATAGATCAAACTCTTTAGAGGGAGAAACGCTTTAAGTTGAAAAAGATTTAAAAGTCTATTCACCCCCTCTAGACTTTTACCCTACCCGGGAACATAAAAAAGGCTTAGAACTCACAAAGGAGGAGAATATTATGAGCCTAAATTTTTTGAATCCGTTGGAATAATCCATGAAACAACAGCCCCTTACACGCCACAACAAAACGACATAGCTGAAAGAAAGAATAGAACCTTAAAAGAAATGGTTAATTCCATGTTGTCTAATTCGGGCTTAAGTAATGGATTTTGGGGTGATGCTATGTTAACTGCTTGTTATATTCTTAATAGACTTCCTAACCAGAGAAATAAAATAACCCCATATGAACTTTGGCACAAGAGAACACCCCAACTAAGTTATCTTAGGGTATGGGGTTGTAGGGCAATCGTGAGATTACCGGAACCTAAACGGAAAACGTTGGGTGAAAAGGGGGTAGAGTGCATATGTATTGGATATGCTGAACATAGTAAATCATATCGATTCTATGTTATTGAACTGAGTGACTCAATTGCGGTTCATACCGTTATTGAGTCTAGGGATGCTCTTTTTGATGAGAAGCGGTTCACTTCTATTCCTAGGCCAAATGATGTGATCTGAGTTCAAGTAATTCAAATTTTCATGATCTGGAAAAGGATCATGAAAATGAGCCTGAAATTAGACGGAGTAAGAGGGCTAGAAAAGAAAAGTCATTTGATCCCGATTTCCAATTATATTTGGTTGAAGGATCAAGAGAGACCCTTGTAACTCAAACACTATATTATTATAGTGTTGAGGAGGATCCTAAATCTTTTGAGGAGGCAATGAAATCTCAAGATGCTTCCTTCTGGAAAGAGGTCGTGAATGATGAAATGGATTCAATCATGGGTAATAATACTTGGGTTCTAAGTGATTTACCACCCGGGGGTCACACCAATCGGTTGTAAATGGATTTTCAAGAAGAAAATGAAAGTAGACGGTACCATTGATAAGTTTAAAGGTAGATTGGTTGCACAAGGCTTTAAACAAAAACATGGTATTGATTACTTTGATACATATGCACCGGTAGCCCGATTAACTACCATAAGATTGTTAATTGCTTTGTCAGCCATTCACAATCTTGTGATTCACCAAATGGATGTTAAAACTGCATTCTTAAATGATGAATTAGAGGAGGAGGTGTATATGAAACAACCCGAAGGGTTTGTAGTTAAAGGACAAGAAAATAAAGTTTGTAAACTTGTCACGCCCTTGTATGGTCTGAAACAAGCACCTAAACAATGACATCAAAGGTTTGATGAGGTGGTACTTAAAAATGTTTTTAAAATAAACCAATCAGATAAGTGCGTATATAGCAAATTTAATGAGTATGGTAACTGTCACGCCCCGGACCTAGTCGGACACGTCAACAACCCGCCGTACAGTACGAATAGTCAATCGTAGTCCAACCCATCCATACTATACAAGGCGTCATGAATATCATTCACACATAGTACATCCATAAACAAACACAATGTAAAACATTCATTTAAAACAGCGGAAGCATTAATACAATTGTTCAAGCCACACTTGGCATAACTAGGCATACAAGCCCCCAAAGTAATTGTTCAAAAATAACGTCCATGAGCATTGTTATCATTATTTTGAAAACAGGAAACAGAAGAAGCACGAACCACGTCTTCTCCTTTGACTATCCCCGAAGCAACGGGCGCCGGTAGCAACCTTCAAGTTCTACCTGAAATTGTGAGGTGGCCTCCCCCGTGAAGGGGAGGTCAGTACTTGGAAATATTTGACAAGTACAATAGCAACTATACTAAGTATAATCAACGTTTTAATTTCTAAGACCCTCAAAATAGGGTGATATCATAATATAAATAGTAATTTATATTTCCCACTTATTATCTTTATAATAAGTAAATTTATTTATTTTTCGGCACACGGCCCTTCTTATATATCCTTTTTCATTTATCATTTGCACAACCCAACCCTTGGGTCCTATTATTTCTACGGGACTTGCTACCGCTCTCCGAGACCTCATGAGGCTCCCGGTTCGGACTCCAACATCCCACCCCTGGACTCGTACCCATCATCCCGTAGGAAGGTAAGGCCCTTCGGGGTCCTATCTTATGTGTTACCGCTACCGGAACCTAGTTAGGTCTCCGATTCGGATTCCACCCTAACCCGTGATCACGATGTAAGTCCATGCTATCCAACCCCGCTCTCTAGAGTCGGGAAGGGTCATGGTCCTTACTATTTCCATAATTCAACCGGCTATCCACAAGAATCACCGATCACACCCGTAGGCCAATCCTATACTTAGGATCGATTTAATATTCACACTATCTTGGGTATCCCTTAAGGCCTACCCCTAGTATAACTTAAAGTTCATACTTTCCTACCTTAAAGCATCTCTTAAGACTACTTAAGGCATAATATTTCACAATCCAACCTTAGGATCAATCTTAACGACATTCCATTTTAATGTCCAACTAGCATCTTAATACTAGTCAAATTAATATCAACAAACCAAGTTCTCAACTCATAGTCATATAGACAATTTCAACTGATTTTCCTTTGAAAATATCATTTATGTCAATATCCAAAATATCACTTTTAATCACTCATATATTCTAATATGAAGAAAAAGTATATTTCAACACATGTTTCATAACAAATTCCACTTTCAAGTCAACATACTCATAACACATGAACATACACAATTTATTCCTAAATTTGTATATCATGCTCCTTTTTCTCTAGACATTTAATCTTTTCATTTTTAGGCATTATTAATCGTTAATAATCCATAAAAACACATTTAATTACCTTCGGTAATCTCATGAAATTAACTCACTAATTATAAGCAATATAGTCAGCCATCCTCACCTTATGAAGTGCTGAAATAGTTGCCTTTGCTAAGCCCCTCGATCAATCCCCATTCTAGGCCGATTGAAGGTGTAAAACTGAGCTGCTGGGCAAAAGCCGGGCGGCTTTCACGAAAGCCGGGCGGCTTTCGTGTTCTGCAGAAACGGGCAGCTCCCTTAAAGTGGCAGTTTCCGGCGATTTCGACTCCTATCGATTCACCAACTCTTCTAAGTTAAATATCACCACTTTATATCAATATTCTACACTTTTAAACGTGTAGAACATCATGTTTAATCCACCATATGATTTCTTAAAAATCATACACCATAAAACTAGTTAAAAGAACCATATGTGTTCTTACCTCAAGGCTTAGCCTTTTTCCTCTATGGATTCTTCCCTCTTCTTGGCTCCTCAAGCTCCAGAATGTTGAGAGCTCTTCCCTGGACCTTATCTCTCTATTCTATCCTCCTTATGGTGTAGAATGAGGGAGGAGTCCATCAAGTCTCCTCACCTTATGAGGATGGTGCATGAATGAGACAAGGAGGGGTGTGGTTTTGTCCCCCCAGCTACCCTCTCCTTCATAAGTCCGCCCAAGCCATGTTAGGATGCCCCATCCCCATTACTCTGGTCATTCAGCACCCTTAAAAACGTGGGGTGGCCCCCACTTATGTGGGAGGTCATCCCATTATGTCCTGGTATGTATAATCGGCCCCGAAAGTTGTATTTTTCGGACTACTTTAGTCATATTTTATTTTATCGGGCCGGGCAAAATATATCACGTGTTCCTAATAATTATGGGCCTTTAGAATAGATGTACCTTCCCCAACATTAATTTAGGAGTCTCCGAAACTCATTTCGGGCTGTTATCCGTTAAATTACCAATACCGGTAATTGGGCCCCGTTTGACCCACCGGTCAACCCCATGCCTTTCTTATGGCCCAATTAAAATATCCACCACCATATACATATTATCTAGGCCAATATGAATATAACATGTGGTTCGGGAATTATCGGGCGGTCCCCGTCCCGCTGTGGGCCCCACATGCAATTTACTATTCACGTAAAATAAATAGTAAAAATTAACAATTACGCAAATTCATAAATCATCTTTCAAGGTTTATTACATCATTTACTAAAAGTAAATATGCTCGGGGTCGGTGTTACAAGTTCACCCCCCCCCCCCCCTTAACGGGAATTTCGTCCCCGAAATTCACAATGCTTATTCAAACAAAAACGCGTATTGCTCTTTCATCAAAGCCTCTGTTTCCCAAGTTTCCTCTTCGACTCGGTCACTTTTCCAATGGACTTTAACCATTGGAACTTTCTTGCTTCTCAATTTCTTGACTTGCCTGTCAAGTATCTTCACCGGTTGCACGGCATAATTCAAGTCTTCCCGTATTTCCACGGGTGGTTTTTCTAATACATGAGATGGATCCGGCATATACTTCTTAAGCATGGACACGTGGAATACGTTATGTATCTTCTCCAATTCTGGAGTCAACTGTAATCGGTATGCCACGGCCCCAATCCTCTCAAGAACCACGAATGGCCCTATGTATCGTGGGTTAAGTTTCCCTCGGCTCTGAAATCGGATGATTCCCTTCCAAGGTGAAACTTTCAAAAATACTTCATCTCCCACCTTAAACTCCAAGGCTCTTCGGCGCTTATCAGCATAACTTTTCTGTCTATCCTGGGCCGCCTTAAGTCTCTCACGAATCATCTTCACCTTAGACTTGGTGATCTCCACCAATTCCGTGCTCTCGAGTTTGGCCATGCCAACCTCATCCCAACACAACGGTGTACGACATCTCCTCCCATACAATGCCTCGTATGGAGGCATGCCTATACTCGCCTGATAACTGTTGTTATAGGCAAACTCCACAAGTGACAAATGGTTGTCCCAACTCCCTTGGAACTCCAATGCACAGGCTCTCAGCATATCCTCTAATATCTGTATAACCCGCTCAGATTGCCCATCCGTTTGTGGATGAAAAGCTGTACTGAATTTCAACTTTGTCCCCATAGATTCTTGGAATTTAGGCCAAAATCGTGATGTGAATCGCGGATCTATCGGATACAATGGTTATAGAAACCCCATGTAGCCTCACGATCTCATCCACATACAACTTGGCTAACCTCTCCAGTGCATAGGTAGTGTTGATAGGTAGGAAGTGTGCACTCTTTGTGAGCCTATCGACCACAACCCATACGGCATCATAGTTCTTAACCGTTCGTGGCAGCCCCACCACGAAGTCCATAGTCACGTGCTCCCACTTCCATTCAAGAATGGAAAGTGGTTGTAGTAACCCAACCGGATGCTGATGTTCTGCCTTAACTTGCTGACAAGTAAGACACCTACTGATGTATTCGGCTATTTCCCTCTTCATCCCCGACCACCAGTAACTTTCCTTCAAGTCACGGTACATCTTCGTGCCTCCCGGGTGCATGGCATACGCCGATGAATGAGCCTCCTCTAAGATGGACTTTCGGAGCTCATCATCCCACGGTGCACATACTCGGTCACGAAATAATAAGAGACCATCGTCTCTCTCCCTGAAATCCTCAACCGGTCCCGCTAGCATGCGTTCATGGATCTTCATAAGTTCTTCGTCGGTTTCTTGACTCTTCTTGATTTCATCAAGTAATGTAGGTCTCACCTCGAATCTAGCTAACAAGGCACCATCGCTGGATACCTCCAATTGGGCTCTCAATGCCCTCAAGCTAGTCAATAATGCCCCATATGAATTCTTTCGGCTCAAGGCATCCGCTACCACGTTGGCTTTACCGGGGTGGTACTCGATAACTAGATGATAGTCTTTTATCAACTCCATCCACCGTCTCTGTCTCATGTTTAACTCTTTCTGAGTAAACACGTACTTCAGGCTTTTGTGATCGGTGTATATATGACATGTTTCCCCGTAGAGATAATGTCTCCAAATCTTCAATGCGAACACCACCGCCCCCAACTCTAAGTCATGAGTGGGATAATTTACTTCATGCTTCTTCAACTGTCGTGAAGCATAGGCAATCACCCTCCCATTCTGCATCAAGACACATCCAAGCCCTTGGATGCTTGCGTCGCTGTAGACATCATACCCCACACCCTGTTTGGGTAGTGCGAGTACCGGTGCCTCGGTCAATCTCTTCTTCAGTTCAAGGAATCCCTTCTCACATCGGTCATCCCATACAAACTTGGCCCCCTTTCGAGTGAGCTTTGTCAATGACGATGCCAAAACTGAGAACTTCTCCATAAATTTTCGGTAGTACCCTGCCAATCCAAGGAAGCTACGAATTTCCTTGACGTTCTTTGGCCTCTCCCATTCAGTAATGGCCTCAATCTTCTTGTTATCTACGGCAATCCCTGATCCTGAAACCACATTCCCGAGGAAGCCGATCTCCCTTAGCCAAAATTCACATTTGGAAAACTTGGCATAGAGTTGCTTCTCCCGTAGTGTCTCAAGAACAAGTATCAAGTGCTCCTCATGCTCTTCTTCACTCTTTGAGTAAATCAAGATATCATCTATGAACACAATTACAAATCGGTCCAAGTATTTATGAAATACTCGGTTCATCAAGTCCATAAATGCCGTTGGGGCGTTGGTTAGCCCGAACGACATAACTAGGAACTCGAAATGACCATACCTTGTGCGGAATGCACTCTTTGGTATGTCATCCTCTTTTATTTTCAGTTGGTGGTACCCCGACCTCAAGTCAATCTTTGAAAACACCGTCGCTCCTCGGAGCTGATCAAACAAGTCATCAATCCTAGGCAAGGGGTACCTATTCTTGATTGTGACCTTGTTCAGTTGACGATAGTCAATGCACATTCGAAGTGTTCCATCTTTCTTTTTCACGAAAAGGACCGGTGCTCCCCACGGAGAGTGACTCGGCCTTATGAAACCGTTGTCCAATAGCTCTTGCAATTGGGTTTTCAACTCGTTAAGTTCAGCGGGTGCCATTCTGTATGGCGGTATAGAGATTGGTTTGGTGCCGGGTTCAACCTCGATCACGAACTCAATCTCCCTATCGGGTGGAAGTCCCGGCAAGTCTTTTGGGAAGACATCCGGATACTTGCACACAACTCTCACATCGTTGATGTCTACCTCTTCTTTGGTTTTGTCCACCACATAAGCTAGATATGCGTGACATCCTTTCTTCATCATGTTCTTTGCTCTCACGGCGGATATGATACAACTGTTTGATTTGCCTCTATCTCCCTCAAAGCGTAAGGTCAATCCTTCACCGCTTTCGAGTTCAAGAACCTTCGTGTAGCAATCAACCCTAGCATGATGTTTCTCAAGCCAATCCATTCCTAGGATTGCATCGAACTCGATCATACTCAGCGGTACGAAATCACACGTCAAGGTTTGGCCCTCCACTTCCACCTCACACGATGGATAGTGGCTATTTCTTTCGATATCATCCCCTAGAGGCGTGGACACCAATAGGGTTTGAGTCATTGGTAAAAGTGGTCCGTTGAATCCGCTGGCGAACGCCTCACTCACAAATGATCGTTGCGCCACGGTATCAATAAGGATCCTTGCGTCTCTCCCGTTTATCTTTAGTGTTCCTACATTCATAAGTAATGTAAGACACACTATCTAATTAATAGGCTCGTTTCTTAATTCGTAGAGTATGTTGGTCGTGTTTCGGGTGGGGTCCATTCGATACCCTTCCGAAATTTCCCGGTTTCTAACCTTTAGGACCGTTTTAGGACCAATCTAGGTGAAAGCCGGCCGCTTTTCACGAAAGCCGGCCGGTTTTCGTCTGCGAGAAAAATCCATCTATGAAAATCACGAAAGCCGGGCGGCTTTCACGAAAGCCGGCCGGTTTTCGTCGCCGCAGTTTTATTCGTGGAAAGATTTCGAAGGTCGACCGGTTTCTACGAAACCCGGCCGGGTTTCAGCAGCACAGGAATCCCCAGGCTTAACGAAAGCCGGGCGGCTTTCCCCCAAAGCCGGGCGACTTTGAGCGCCGCAGATTAATCCAGACCAATTTTCCAAACGCCGGTCGGTTTCTGTGAAAGCCGGCCGGTTTTCGTTTGCGAGAAAAATTTGTTGATTGTTATATACGAAAGCCGGGCGGTTCTCGGTGGAAGCCGGCCGGCATTAGTTGCCGTAGTATTTTTCCCCAATGATCAAGACGAAAGCCGGGCGGCTTTCGTCAAAGCCGGGCGGCATTCGCCCAGGGCGAGGATTCTCCTCCCCTTTTCCTCCTCAAACCCGACCAAACTCGTCGGGGTTAGCATTTTACAAGTTCCACGCTCCTATTGTTTATGAAAATTAATACGTGAGTTTAAGGAATTACCCGCAACGGAGTCTGGGTTGGCACGAGCATCTGCCTCCGTCATAGCATAGACCCGAGCTTGGGTCCTTCCTTGGTTTACGGATGGCGCGTTGCTTGCACTCGCCCCACCGTGCCCACCGCTAGCATTTGGTGCTCCGGTTCGATTCCTGCTCACCGTCGTTGCACTACTCGGTCCGGCCCCCATGGCTCGCCCAAGTTGTGGGCAACTCACCTTCAAATGCCCGACCTCCCCGCATTGATAGCACCTCGGGGGATCGCGGCACATGCCAAAGTGGTTCTTCTTGCAGTTGCTGCACTTCTTCGCGCATGAGCCTTGTGACACAGAGCTTTGCCCGCTCGGGCCTTGATTTCCCCTTACCGGTGGTGCAGGGGTTTTGAAGGATCCGCCTCCCCCGTGGTTCCCCTTCTTGTTGGAACCTTGAGGGCCATGGCTCTCCCATTTTCTTTTCCTTGCCTCCTCGGCATTCCTTCGTTTTCTTTCCTCCCACTCCTTCTCTCCTTTCAGGCCTTGTTCAACCACTTGACTGAACGCCATATTAGGCAATTGTGTTGCCCTCTCGCGTATGTCGAGGTCCAAGGCATCCCAGAAATGGTTCACCATCCGGTTTTCATCACAAATGTACTCCGGTATGAACTCAACAAGTTTTCTGAACTTGTGCTCAAGTTCCTTCACCGTACATTCACCTCCTTGGGTCAAATTCGTGTACTCCCTCCTCTTCAAGTTCACCTCGAAGTCGGAGTAGTATTGGCTGAAGAACTCCTGTCTGAAATTTTCCCAAGTGACGGCCTCACCGTACTTCCCTTTTGTTCCATCCCACCATGTGGACGCCATGCCTTCTAGTAGCCTCGTGGCTACCCTCAGCTTCATGTGGGGTGGTAGTTGCATGTCGAGGGCCGCCTCGTTGAATCTTTTGATCCACTCGGCCGCCACGGAGATGTCCCCCGTTCCATCAAACGGTTTACATCCCAAGTCTCTTGCCTCCTTGAGGTACTTTGAGATCCTTATTATTGGGACCTCAGCACCTCCCCCTCCTCGGGATTCTATGATCTCCCGGGGAGTTACACGGCTTCCTCTTCTTGAAGCCCCTTCCAAAGCACGCCTTGCTCGGCGCCTTTGGCGATCTTGGTGGTACTGTCGGAGTAGTTCCTCTATTCTTTCAAGAGCGTCATTATCGTCGCTCTCTTCGCTCACATCATCTTCCCCGTCATATGGGGTTTCCACCGGTTCAGTCCCCGGTTGGTAAGTTGAATCCTCCTCGGACTCATATTGCTCATCATACGTCTCCACATGACCGTCACTCACCGTCAGTGAGTGGCCTGCACGGCCCTGTCCCCGAGACACCCTCGACCCTCCCCGGCTGCCACGTTGGGATCCTCCCGGTGCCTGGCCAGTCGGGTTCCGTCGAGTAACTTTCCCGGTACGTTCCATTTCTGAAAGAAATTTAGAATGAGTCATTAGACTCGTATCAAGTGTCAATTGACGGATAGGCACTTAAAGACATCTTTTGGCTCAAATCACCGCCATACCAATTGCTAAGGGTACCATCTTAATAATTAGAGACATTGCAACTCAAGTACCAAAAGTTCTATAAGTACAAAACTTTATGCTGATGGTTTTCAATTTTTTTTTTCAAAAAGCATTTTGAAGCTTCATTATGATGTTTACGGACTAAGGCTCTGATACCAATTAAATTGTCACGCCCCGGACCTAGCCGGACACGTCAACAACCCGCCGTACAGTATGAATAGTCAACCGTAGTCCAACCCATCCATACTATACAAGGCGTCATGAATATCATTCACACATAGTACATCCATAAACAAACACAATGTAAAACATTCATTTAAAATAGCGGAAGCATTAATACAATTGTTCAAGCCACACTTGGCATAACTAGGCATACAAGCCCCCAAAGTAATTGTTCAAAAATAACGTCCATGAGCATTGTTATCATTATTTTGAAAACAGGAAACAGAAGAAGCACGAACCACGTCTTCTCCTTTGACTATCCCCGAAGCAACGGGCGCCGGTAGCAACCTTCAAGTTCTACCTGAAACTGTGAGGTGGCCTCCCCCGTGAAGGGGAGGTCAGTACTTGGAAATATTTGACAAGTACAATAGCAACTATACTAAGTATAATCAACGTTTTAATTTCCAAGACCCTCAAAATAGGGTGATATCATAATATAAATAGTAATTTATATTTCCCACTTATTATCTTTATAATAAGTAAATTTATTTATTTGTCGGCACACGGCCCTTCTTATATATCCTTTTTCATTTATCATTTGCACAACCCAACCCTTGGGTCCTATTATTTCTACGGGACTTGCTACCGCTGTCCGAGACCTCATGAGGCTCCCGGTTCGGACTCCAACATCCCGCCCCTGGGCTCGTACCCATCATCCCGTAGGAAGGTAAGGCCCTTCGGGGTCCTATCTTATGTGTTACCGCTACCAGAACCTAGTTAGGTCTCCGATTCGGATTCCACCCTAACCCGTGATCACGATGTAAGTCCATGCTATCCAACCCCGCTCTCTAGAGTCGGGAAGGGTCATGGTCCTTACTATTTCCATAATTCAACCGGCTATCCACAAGAATCGCCGATCACACTCGTAGGCCAATCCTATACTTAGGATCGATTTAATATTCACACTATCTTGGGTATCCCTTAAGGCCTACCCCTAGTATAACTTAAAGTTCATACTTTCCTACCTTAAAGCATCTCTTAAGACTACTTAAGGCATAATATTTCACAATTCAACCTTAGGATCAATCTTAACGACATTCCATTTTAATGTCCAACTAGCATCTTAATACTAGTCAAATTAATATCAACAAACCAAGTTCTCAACTCATAGTCATATAGACAATTCCAACTGATTTTCCTTTGAAAATATCATTTATGTCAATATCCAAAATATCACTTTTAATCACTCATATATTCTAATATGAAGAAAAAGTATATTTCAACACATGTTTCATAACAAATTCCACTTTCAAGTCAACATACTCATAACACATGAACATACACAATTTATTCCTAAATTTGTATATCATGCTCCTTTTTCTCTAGACATTTAATCTTTTCATTTTTAGGCATTATTAATCGTTAATAATCCATAAAACACATTTAATTACCTTCGGTAATCTCATGAAATTAACTCACTAATTATAAGCAATATAGTCAGCCATCCTCACCTTATGAAGTGCTGAAATAGTTGCCTTTGCTAAGCCCCTCGATCAATCCCCGTTCTAGGCCGATTGAAGGTGTAAAACTGAGCTGCTGGGCAAAAGCCGGGCGGCTTTCACGAAAGCCGGGCGGCTTTCGTGTTCTGCAGAAACGGGCAGCTCCCTTAAAGTGGCGGTTTCCGGCGATTTCGACTCCTATCGATTCACCAACTCTTCTAAGTTAAATATCATCACTTTATATCAATATTCTACACTTTTAAACGTGTAGAACATCATGTTTAATCCACCATATGATTTCTTAAAAATCATACATCATAAAACTAGTTAAAAGAACCATATGTGTTCTTACCTCAAGGCTTAGCCTTTTTCCTCTATGGATTCTTCCCTCTTCTTGGCTCCTCAAGCTCCAGAATGTTGAGAGCTCTTCCCTGGACCTTATCTCTCTATTCTATCCTCCTTATGGTGTAGAATGAGGGAGGAGTCCATCAAGTCTCCTCACCTTATGAGGATGGTGCATGAATGAGACAAGGAGGGGTGTGGTTTTGTCTCCCCAGCTACCCTCTCCTTCATAAGTCCGCCCAAGCCATGTTAGGATGCCCCATCCCCATTAATCTGGTCATTAAGCACCCTTAAAAACGTGGGGTGGCCCCCACTTATGTGGGAGGTCATCCCATTATGTCCCGGTATGTATAATCGGCCCCGAAAGTTGTATTTTTCGGACTACTTTAGTCATATTTTATTTTATCGGGCCGGGCAAAATATATCACGTGTTCCTAATAATTATGGGCCTTTAGAATAGATGTACCTTCCCCAACATTAATTTAGGAGTCTCCGAAACTCATTTCGGGCTGTTATCCGTTAAATTACCAATACCGGTAATTGGGCCCCGTTTGACCCACCGGTCAACCCCATGCCTTTCTTATGGCCCAATTAAAATATCCACCACCATATACATATTATCTAGGCCAAGATGAATATAATATGTGGTTCGGGAATTATCGGGCGGTCCCCGTCCCGCTGTGGGCCCCACATGCAATTTACTATTCACGTAAAATAAATAGTAAAAATTAACAATTACGCAAATTCATAAATCATCTTTCAAGGTTTATTACATCATTTATTAAAAGTAAATATGTTCGGGGTCGGTGTTACAGTAACAATGTCATTATTTGTCTATATGTGGATGACATGCTCATATTTGGCACTGATTTGAGGCAAGTAAAAGAGACAAAAGCTTTCCTCTGTTCAAACTTCTCCATGAAACATATGGGTGAAGCGGAAGTTATCCTTGGAATTAGGATAATAAAGCAAGGTGATACTATCATCTTAACACAATCTCACTATATAGAGAAAGTGTTGAAAAGATTTGGGAGTTTGGATTGTTCACCGGTCTCCACTCCTATGGACCCTAGCTGGAAATTAGTTCCAAATAGTGGGAATGTTGTATCACAGCTGGAATATGCTAGGGTAATTGAGTGTCTGATGTATGCAATGACTACAACCCGACCAGATATTGCATTTGCGGTAGGCAAGCTAAGTAGATGTACTAGTAACCCTAGTATATTTCATTGGCAAGCCTTGAAGCGAGTGCTGAAATATCTAAAGAAAATAATGAGCTTCGGCTTATGTTACAAGAGTGAACCATTTATATTAGAAGGGTATACGGATGCAAGTTGGATAACTAATCAAGAGGATTATTCATCCACAAGTGGATGGTTATTTCTTCTTGGAGGATGTGCTATATCATGGGTATCTAAGAAACAAACTTGTACCACGGACTCTACCATGACTTCGGAGTTTATAGCTTTAGCATCAGTTTGTAAAGAAGCGGAATGGCTAAAGGATTTAGTGTCAGAAGTCCCAATATGACATAAACTTATGGTTCCGATATCAATCCATTGTGATAGTGCATTAACTATGTCGAAAGCTTATAACCACGTGTACAATGGTAAGTCAAGGCACATAGGAGTGAGACAATGCTATATAATTATTGATGTACTAATAATAATAATAATAATAATAATAATAATAATAATTAAATTATGCATCATGAGTGGATGGTGATGCATGTACGTGTGTGTCAATTTTGTTTAAAAATAAAATTGGCAAAAGTCATGCCATTTGCGAGCAACTAGGTACGTACGTAAACAAATGATAATCAAATACTGTTTTGATTTGATTTCAAAATTGGGGAAGGATAATACCACCAATTTACAACCATCATGACTCTTCATAGAGTCATAATGTTTAGAAAGAAACTGATGATGTGAGACAACATGTGTGTTGTTTTCTATAAATGCATGTTGAACGTGTGAAGTCGGAAAAAACTTGATAATAATTCCTCTGGTTATATTTATCCTATTATCCGCAGAAACAGTGATTACTATTTAGACCACTTTATATACAAATCATTTGTTAAGTGTTATTTTACCAGTAGCTAAAGTACAATTGTACATTTTCTTTTTATCCCAAAAATTCTATCTTATAACCCGGTAGATAATAAACTTTTAGGAAAACGTATTTTATACGTGACTAAAAGTGATATCCGGTCCAACCATATTTATACACCCTTATATTATACTCCCCCCCGTCCCTTATAATTTTGCCAACTTTCCTTTTTTGGTTGTCCCAAAAACTTTGTCACTTTCCCTTTTAGTCAATCGGTTCCTGTTATTTTTCTCTCCTATGCACAAATTTCTACCACACAGTTTTTACTTTATTATTCTACGTGCCGGTCAAACTTGACGATCTTTTAGGGACGGAGGGAGTACTATTCTTTCCCCGGTTCTAACACTTTAATACTCCCTCCGTCCCTTAAAACTTTGTCATCTTTCCTTTTTGGGACGTCCAAAAAAATTTTGCCACTTTCCCTTTTAAACAATTATTTTGTGGTTTCTGTTTTTTCTCTCCTCTGCACAAATCTCAATCACACACTTTTTACTTTATTATTCTCCGTGCCGATCAAATTTCCCAAAGTTTTAAGGGACGGAGGTAGTATTATTATGACTAAAAGAGAGGTGGACATGCATGCAACTTAGCCATATATAGGTGGCCTTTTACACGGTTGCCTTGTACTGACTCTCAATGATTTATGGCAGAAGTGGTGCACGTGTGGCCCTTGTAAACAAAGA